ATTATAGTAACATATGATAGTGTGATACTGGTAGAACTTTCCAGTTTGTCACACATAATCAGAGCGGCAAAACAACCTGTTTCAACAGCTTCGGCCTCATTTGTCTTCCAATGCTTAGCAATGTTTTCAGAGAGTGGATCGTCTGGATTCGGAGCACTCAGAAGGGCTTGAATGCTGAAACATCACAAGATATCACATTGTTTTCACATGTTGATGCTTTGCAGAAAACTTAATCGTGTACAGAGCTATATGACACACAGAATCTACCATAACTTCATATGCTTAAATTGCCGTCATTTCCTAATGGTTCATATAGTCACTAAAACCCAATTGGATCCCAAGAAAGTAGGGTCTGGGGAGGGTCTATGTATGCAAACCTCCCCCCCCCCCCAGCTTGAAAGTAGAGAGGTTGTGTCCAAGAGACCCTTGGCTCAAACATCATACATAAAAATAAGATCACAGAGGGCATATATAGTAGAGATAGCAAAAGACACAAGGGGCAAAAAACAAACTAATAAAACTAAGTAAAAACACAGCTTTAGGAGAGCACCAACCATATAAAGCATACAAAGCATACAAAAAGAGGACAAACTACCACTTACCCCAAAGCGCCCACGCGACTACCCGAATCCTAACTCTCCAAATTCTCCTATCTAAAACCACCTAGTTATTAAATGGAAATTCAATACCTCAAAAGTACTGTTCGTATCTGAAGAGCAGGACTCCACTTATCCTTGAGAATATCAAGACAAATCCTTCCAAGCTGCACATGCAGATCCCGTCTATTAACAAAAATTATGGCTCGTCCAAAAAAAACAGTTGAAGAGCAATTACAACAAACCTTATCAATATTAGGGTGGTAGATTTTTGTGAGAAATCGAACCTGAAAAAAATTGAAATGTTTGACTAATTATTCAATCATATTCTAAAAGTGCAATCAATGAAAGAAACCACATTCACAATAAGTTCATCAAGCTTATATGGAGTATAATTCATATCAAGATAAAACCAAACCAAACCAAACATAGCCTATATATCCCACATGGAAATAGGGATTAAGGAGGGTAGTATGTGATTATATGTGTAGAGCAAAACAGTAACTGCAATGAGTGCACAACAAAGTACAC